AGATCTCAAATACAAGGAAGTCACTATAAATGTTAGAAACATGCTGCTAGGAAATGGTGAGTTTATATACAAACTGGTCTGGTGATGTTAAACATAAAATGGGCAAATCTCAAAGCTGATTTTTATTGAAGAGGAAATCTTTTTTTTTTTTTCTTTCTTTCTTTTTTTTTTTGTTAGCCTAATTAGGCTGGAAATCCAGACAAAAAAGTGTATTCACATCATTTCACAGAGCACACAGCTTCCAGAACTGTCCAGTGATGATCCATGTCATTGTATCAGAAAGCACTACAACGTTTAGAAGCTCCGTGCTCTCAGGAATGAGCTCATGAACACACATGTATTTTTGCATTCAATACTTTGTAGAGTAATGAAAGGAAAAATAATCATCTTTGGCCAAAGTGTTCAACAGCAGAGTCTCCATATGCAGATTTGTAACATGTTTCACATCTGATGAGTTATTAGTGCTGAATGAAGACCTGTGTCTATAAATCAGCAGCAGTAAATCAGAAACACATGAATGCTGTAGTTTATCAGTGTTCCTCTTTAAGTAAAGCAGCATTTTGTTAAACCCCAACTTTTCAGTGACATTTAATGCAACCAGTCAAGCATCATTATTTTGACCAACTTTCTGAAGAAGTTTGATTTCTTATTAAAGCACTTTGTTGACCTGGGACTTTATTAAAGGGTATATAGAATTTTGCTTTAAGCTGCTTTGTAGGTATTCTTTTGTGTCTTTTTTTAGATTTATACTTTTTTTTTCTATATAAGCTAATGTCTGAAGCATTTGTGTGTACTGTGAAACATAATTTGAATATTTCATGTTTCCTATTGTTAAATCATGGCATGGTTCTACATATTAAGATTTCATAGAAAAGTACTTAATAGTTTCTACTTTCATAGTTAGATTTATAAAATTTCAATCAAATAAGTGCAAATTTAAAATGCATTTTAGGCATAACCAGCAGCTGTAATATCAGTAAGGCACATGCTACATGTTAAGGCTGTTCAATCAGTTAGTTTTGTTTTGTAGAGATTTATATAGCCTAGCTATTAGAGAAGCATGTATTGTATTTGCTAAAAAGCCTGAAATGGTGATTTTTGTAGGAATCTAGCCTCTTGACCTTGTCTAGAACATATCGGCCTCTAACTCTAAAGTGCCTTGCCTTAGTTGAAAAGGATATGTGTAGAATTGTCAGAGCAAACACAAGTAGTTGAAGCTTGTGCACAGGTTTCTGCAAAATGTGTCTTGTTTAACTTTGCAGAAGCATCGACATGTGTATGACTATATGTGTATATATAAATATATGCCAGTGTATTCGGCCAATCCCATTAAGTATTTCTGCGGAAGTTAATTGAAAACAAGCATTGTCAGTGCCTGTGTCCTGACTTCAACCTTAGAAACGAACCGCCCCTCTCCCCTCCAACGACCCACCCGCTCATTCCTCGGTCGTGGTGCTCTTTTGGTGCAGCTTCAGTCTTTGAAATTAGTTTTTTTTTTTTTTTTTCAATTTAATGTTTGGGAGTATGCAAACATAGAACACATGGATTTGTATAGCAACATATAAAAATGCTTTTTAAACAGTTCAGTAACATTAATTAGTTTTATTGTAATAATTCTGCAGCGAATGAAGAATTCTGTCGTTAGCTTGTAGGTTGGATTTTGCAAAGGATTAGTGCTTAGGTTCCTCTAATTGAAATGACCTTCTACTGTGTTAAAAAATCTTTTTATTCTTGCTTTAAATTCAATAGAAAATCATGTATCTCCAGGTACACCTTTTGCTACTTACAAATATGGGAAAATGCATTGTTTACATTCACATAAATGTCGATTAAGCAACTCAGAGGAAAACTATCAAGAAAGGTTATGGTATTTTAGCATTTTCATGACTATATTTCAGCATAAAAGGCAGGCTAAACACTTCTGGTATTGCATGTTATGCGATATATTAACCAGCTACAAAAAAAAAAAGAAAAAGAAAAAAAAAAAGTTCGCACTGTGTCACACTGCCAGAATATTTGTATTGACTTATTTTTAGTGTAGTAAAGGCTTAATAACTTCTGCAAGCTTCGCTGCTACTGGAAAAGGTATTAATGTAGTTTCTTGTTATACATTTAGATGTTTGAATGTTGTGCATCCACAGGTCAGATTACAGAAACTATGAAATAATCTGTCTTCTGCATTTAACTTGACTAAATCTTATTTGATTGAATTTTTCATTTGTAAATCCATTAGAGTCAGAGTTTCAGTACTTTTGTAAATCACCTAGAATGATGTCACAGACCTCTACTGCTGTAGATGATCCCTTTTTTTGAATTGATTGAAGGTAAATGTATTTTTGTTGGAATTCTTTTCCCTCCATACACTGGATAGCAGTGTACGGTGCAGCTAATTTCACAGGGTCCTCTGGTCTGTTTTGTTAACGCCTGTGAAGCCAACTAAATTAATGATGTCTAGTGTAAAAATCTAAAAGTGAACCAAAGTAGTGTTCTAGTAGCTGTCCAAATATGTATTCTAAAGAGAAAATTTGCCCTTGAACAGAATTCAAATAATTGCTAAGGTATTGGAAAGATCAGCCTGTAGCTGTGAAGGGGGCAGGTCAGAGCACCGAGATTATGTAGATGAGACTGAGACGAAGTCCAGCATTGTGAGTGGCAGGAATTCTGTTTTTGGATGGATTTTTGCTTTAATATTTCATTCAGTAGGACATATATCCTCTTAGCGAGTACACAGCAGGACTATGCCAATGGCTTTTGCTTACAACATTAATGGACTTGAGCCCATTTTTTGCAGTTTTACCAAAGACCTGTACTATTGTTATTTCTTTTGTACTACATTTCATCATTACTTTTATTTCAGTAAGAAACCTAAATTGATTTTACAAAGTAATCACCTAGTACCTTAAATAGATAATGTTCATTAACAGTAATTAATGGCATCTTTTTCTAACTAAAGTTAGCTATAGTGAGTGGATACACAAATGATCAATGAAAAATGCATGGGTCAGATCCTCACAAAATGTGTATTTGTACATTTGATTTTGTGTTAAGTATACATTGACGTTTATGGCAGATTTGTGCAATACTGGCTAGCACATGCTGACCTTAAGCGAGGATTCAGTGTCAGTTTAATTGTTGTCTACAGTGAAGGAATGTCAAAGGTGAATGGCATTTGTGCTTCTAAAGTGGCCATATAACTTCACTACAGTACTGTTCTGAAGTTCATTTTGTTTGTTGATTTTTGCTTAACTAGATAATCTCAATCACTTTGGAAAATCTGATGGTTATGCATTATATGCTGTCAAGATAGACCTGACTGTAAGGTGCTTTCTTTTTACCTGACTTTTTGTTTTCTATTTCTGAAAGCCGTGGTCCAAATTAGGTTTTGTTTTGTTTTTTTTTGTAAAATTACAGGGGAAAATGATGATGATTGTGACAAGCATCAATGGCAGATACAGACATAATTAAAACTGAGTTGTTCTGATGGTAAATTGTTGGCTCTTGATCTCTCTAGTGGTCTACTTACCCTAATTCAAGTTTTCTGAAAAGAAATGAAACAAGCATTCACTTGGTAAGCACAGCATACATTTCTTTACATTCTTCAGATTTGTTAAATTTATGTCTAACGGACCAATTACACTTTGAAGTACATCTGTGCCTTTTAATAATTACATAATGTTGATTGGTATCGAGAATATTTCTGAGACAACATTCGGTCTATTTAATTAGAATCAAAATTCCAGTGCCTTACAATATTTTTGTGGACCACAATGTGATTGCTAAATGATCTCCTGCATTCAGGCCATTTAAATTGACTTATAATTGTCTTATCTCAGTCTGTATTTGCCATACCATTGAAGAAAACACAGCAATACCTAACCATTGAATACACCGTTTTGATCTCAATTACTTATTTGGCACCAAAAACTCAGTTGTTTGTGAGGAAAAGCACCAAATAGGAAGAATCTTGTAAATGAACTGTAATAGATGTATCATTATGCTCTGCATTGGAATAGTTTAATCTATTTTGCATTATTGTTAGTTGTTGTGTTGTCTTTTTGTTTTTAATATTATGAAAATGGAGCCTGAAGATTTATGCAATCTTGTACATGTATGAGTATGATGTATGGAACTGTTCAAAATGAGTAAAATACTAGTACAACAGGTGGTGTCGAAAGTAAATAATCTGAATGTGGAACCAGTTGTTCCATACACTTTAGAAAATTTCAGTAGAAATGTTATTTTAACATTGAAGCCCTGAAATATTGAATGTATTGTTCTAAATTAGATATTCAATGAATGGGTCACTGGATATTATGGAGCGCAGTTAATTCATTATGATGTAGCATCTAGTTGTGAACTGCTATTCAATAAAATTTATTAGAACTAAAACAAATGCAAGTTTTCAAGTTTCTATTTGTCAGCATAATGAGGAACTATAAGGAAAGAAATGTATTTTTCTCAGGGTAATACAGTGATTTAATAGAAAATGTGTTATATCTGAGGAAATTGCATTTCATGGATTTATTTACTTAATGTCAGTGAGTTTAGACATTATTTATAGATAGATTAAGAAAAATGTCCCTTATTTTGTGACAAGCTGTATGGATATGTAGGAAATTCTCTACTGATAATCGTAGAAATTATTCTGTTGGTATATTGATATTTTTTGTGTCGTGAACACAAAAATTGGTGCAAGTCTTAGAATACTAGCTTTTTTCTTTTCTACATTGAGGATTGTGTACTGCATAATTTCTGTAGTGTATTACTAGTTTGTTAACACTTGTTCAATTGTTACACTACAGTTATGCAATGGTTTACAGAGTTCACAAAATTATTTTTATCATCTTGAGAATTAAAATAATTTTTCATCTGAAATGTGTGAATACTTATTGTCTCAAACACAACTTATGTTCATAAAATTCTACTTGTGCCTTAAAGTCGTGTGGGCACCAGATGAGAGGAAGGGGGATTTATAGGAAAAATCCATTTATTGCCTTTCAACAGTATGGAAAAACATTTATATAAACTGAGACAACTATGTATTGAACGATTCAGAGCAGACACCTTATGAAAATGTCTCCAGATGCTGCTTGTTCTTCAGAAAATGGTTTTGTTCACATTTGAACTTTTATGGCACAATGGCATGACAGCTCTCAGGAGACAAGGCATCAAACAGGTAGCATATTAGCTGCTTAGCCTGGAGGAGAGAACAGAACATTGTGTAACGGTGACTTGTTGACAAACTGTAAAATGATATTTGCTGCACCACTTGAAAACAAACAAACAACAATCGTAAACCAACTAAAGACAAATTACTTGTTTAAATATATTTAAACCAAAAGCTGAATTATAGTCATTCAGTGTACCTGTTTCTCACTTCCTGGGTAGATTATCATTTCCTCCACATTCTCTAGGTCTGGCCTGTCCTTGTAAATGCTAGTGTAACAATGAAAGGCACATTTAAAAAGAAAACGTTATGTACATGTAAGTATTCTTAACATATTCACAACAGGTTTGAGTTGTGTCTTTTCATACCTTTCAAGGAGCAGGTTGAAGGCAGTTACAATTTTTTCCCCTTGCAGAGCCATGATGAGACAGGGGGCCATGTAAAGATGAGTCATCTTTTAAGGACACAATAGACCAGAAAAAAAAAAAAAAAGATCAACTGCTGATGGCACTGTGTGTAAGAAAGTATGCGCTGAAGCAGCTTGTATGAAAGCCACACTGCTCACCCTCTCATTTCCACTTGATGACACTTTGAGTGTCTCAGCAATGTGTTTCCTCTGTTTGTTATCCAGCATGCACATCCTCCCTGCCACCAGATGGCAGCCTGACCTCAGCAGCTGCTCCAGCATCTCCAGCTGGGAGCGCACTTGGCCGAGCAGTGGGGCATCTAAGGGTATCAGCAGACAGGTTGTCTGCCAGAGAGGACTGTGTATCAGGGACCCTGGTACCAATAAACAAGCAAAACAGGACATTTGTTTTCTGCACTGTTTACAAAGCTTATCTGGAACTGAGTCACATTTCAACATCCTCTCCAGAACAGCCTCTGCCAGAGTCCCAATAAATCATTAAATAATTTAAAGGGACCAGTTTTGCTTTAATAAATGATTGAACCATGCAATGTTTAATGGTTTGACTCTAAAATCAGTTTGATATGTACAGTATTCCTGTGATTATGGGCACATCACTATTTTAACCTAAATATAAGGCATAGTCTAGTTCTGCAGAGTTTACAGCATTGTTCTCAAACAAAAGTTACTAACACATATATAGTCTTTTTATGAAAATTAAACCAGACAAGTAGTCCTCCTAACCTTGTCTTGTTCCTGATGCATTTGAAGGTGACACAGTTTCCTGGGCCACAGCGGCCAGCGTGCAGCTCTGTTCACGCTCCACAGAGGCTAATGGGTCTGAACACATGCTGAGTATCTGAAACAAGAAACCAAGAGCCAGCACAGAATGCCTGTATTTTATCAGGTACAAGTACAATCCAAGCACTAAAAGCAATGTAATGTTGAAGTCCTGTGTTGGACATATACCTGTTCCTGTCTCATTGTACTGCTCTCACTACAGCATAGCCCATCTGGGAAAAGCCTCTTCACATCCTCCACTGCTTTCTGATATGATCCCGAACCTATGGCATTAGTTACTGACATATAAACATAAAGCAGCATAGCAATCCTGCTCTGGAATACGTACCAGTTTGCAGTCTGATGCACTGACCACAGATGCCATTGTATAAATGAGCCATACCATAACAGTCTGTCCAGAGGGATGAGTCCTCTTGGCCCAGCACGTCCAGCAGCCTCTTCACAGCGTTTTCTCCCTGGAGGCAGAGAGCCAGTGAGGACCCAGAGCACAGGCACTCCACATGGGCGTCCAAGTCTGAGGGCTCCTGCACAGAGCAAGTAATACTATGAATTATCAAGGCTTACAGTTTGACAATGACAACAAATTCTTCAGTTAGACGTTCAGTTAGTTACACTTTCTGCAGAGAGTAGTGAGGTAGCATCGCTCCTGCCAAGGGTCACTACTCGCAGGCCGACCAACATGAGGCCACTCTGCTGGAGCTTGTGGAATATTTCAGTCAGAGCGTGATTCCAGACTCTCGGCTTGAATAGGCACACAGTGAGCAGCATCTGTGGGTCTGAACATAAAGTCACTCTTACTGCTCGGTTTTATCACTGAAAGCACCAGTATTACCGCAATATAAAAGTGTTTGCCACTAGTTTACTATTTGTTTTACAAAATTCTGACCTACATGAAATATTTTTGTGAGTCAGATTTATATAAAGTATTTATGGTCTGATTTGTGATATAAAGACATATAGAGATTATATAGTGTATGTGCTTTCTGGAGCTTGCAGCCAGAAAATTGTGTGCTACAGATTCAAAGAGAATTTGTAAGTGTAATTCCCCAAATAATTACAATGAAGTGTCATCATTATGAAATTCAACAGAACTTATCTGGCAAATTACAATATGTACTATGTGTAGTATCACTAAATCAATTAAATCCAGAAACAATGTAAAAACAAGTTCGCCATGGTTGTTGTAAATATCATTTCAGATGGGGTTGTTTTCGTTTTCTTCTTTTTTTTTTTTTTTTTTTACACAAAACTTTTGTTGTGCAGTTTTGGGGAGGTGGGCCTACACTGTGGTCTGTACCCAGAGAAATGATCTGCTCATGTTTTCCTTACATCTATCCTTGTGATAGACTCAGAAAATACTGGAGCATGCCTCAGGAGATTTGATTTTAGACACGGTATCTGATTGCATTATTTTATACAGCACTCAACAAACTCACCAGAAATCAGCTCATGGTCAAAGAAGAAGAGGGAGGCTTGTCTGAAGGCCACTTCAGGTGTGGGTGACATCAGGACACTCAGGTTACCGGGGTAATCGTGCGGTAGGAGCTTTTGCAGTGAAGCAAAAGCATCCATCCGTCTGAGAGCACACACTAGAGCAGGAGAGGACATCAGATTTTCCTGGCTGCAGCGGTAGAGCTGCTCTCCCACCTCGTAAGGACTCAGCTCCTGGGCCTGAAGTCGAGTCAGCACGGGCAGCCACTTCAAACCAAGTAGCTTGAAATGTGCGTGTTGTGCATCGCCTAGAATATCAAATAAAAAACACATTGCAACCATTTAAACATTGGAGTTACGACAATTCTGGTGAAATGATTCACTCACATACTCATTAATTTGTTAATTCATTAAACTTTGTTGGCTCCTATGTTTATCTGATAGTGTATTTTGTTTGTTTGCTGCTACCTCCAGTTCCAAAACCCAGGAAAGGCTGTGCTTTCAGAAATATAGTTGAACTTCACCCACCTTCTGGCCCTTCTGTCAGCACTCTGTGTAGGAGGCTCAGGCCTTGGCTCATGTCCTTCCCACACAGGGTCAAAATCACCACCTGCTCCATTTCAGAATTGGACAGACACTTGTGATGGGGCAGGATCACACCAGGAGGATCTGGCACTGTCCACATGGACCGAACTAAAAATAAAGCACGCTGTACATAAGAAACATAAATGGCAACAGTAGAGGAGCATCTGTCAAGGTTTTTCAGGACACTGAACACACACTGCTTACCAAAGATGTGGAACAGGTTACGGCTGTAGGGCACAGTATGGAAACAGAAACTTGGCTCTACTGTGTCCACACCATTAAGCCTGGAGTGGAGGCAGCCCACAAGCTTTTGAGCCTTAAATTCTCTCATTAGAGCTGAAACAGCATGGCAGTCGAACGTTATTTTAATGGCAAAGAAAAACATGACAATGTAGACTTTCTGCATTATTACATCCAAAATTGTACTTTACATATATATATATTTTTTTATATAATTTATGAACTTATATTATGTTGTGGATAGAATCTGAGATAAAATCTGAGACCTGCAGGCAGACTAACACTGTGGTGCACCGCATTTTCTTTCCTCAGTATCAACACCAGACATTGAGAGGGAAGGTCCACCTCCTGATCCAGGGTCACGGTGGGTGGACTGCAGAACACATTTGTCTAGAAAAAATATAAACAGACGTCACCATTGTAATAAATAGTAAAGAAGTACGAGGAGAAATCTGTGTTTCCTTTACAGTACAAGCATGTTTCATGATGTGTGATCATTTTCCAGCACAGCGTCCCTCTGAATCTCTCACCTCTAACTGAGTATCATGTAGTTTTACCTGCTGGTTGGTGAGTCCGAGGCCTGGAGCTCCATGTCTCTGAAGCCGAAGTGTCTGCAGCCCCAACAGACTGAAGCCTCTACGTTCACAAACAGCCAACACTTGGCCATAACAACATGGAGACACAACAGGCGACGCCACGAGGAGTATGTCAGCTAAGCAGGAGAGAGAGAAGGATTAGGAGCTCCACTCCAAGTAAACATCTTTTATCCTTGCTGCAAACAAAATTTCCCTCAGGACAGTAAAGATGAAAGTTGAAAATGAATTACGGACACGAGCCAGTTCTCTCCCTTGCGACAGTTTTTGACTGCTGAGTTACAATACCTTTAGTTGTAGCACACAGAAAGGCAGACGATCTACTTAAACTGAACAGGCTGCCTCTGACTCTGTCATCCGAAGGCACAACTCTACAAACAAAAGTGAGGGAGACAGACTGTAACACCATTAAAATAAAAACAAAACAGTGTCACAGTAATAAAGGGACTGTGCTGTAGTATGTTTCAGGTAAATCCCTCGTGGCTCTGAGGGAGGGCTTTAAGTAATATTAAAACCTCAGCTTCATTAGTCTCACTATTTTTTGGTTTTTGGTTATTTCAGTTAAATGTAGCTTGTTGAGAGTTTCCTTAAGAACATAAAGATTTAGATTTACAGTTGCAGCATTTCTATTGTCTATTTTAAAAATCAATTTCAATTTACTTGCAGTTAATTTGAAGTAGATCAATCTGATTAACCCCCCCCCCCCTTCATTTATCAAATCCATCTCACATTTGCTCAAAATAGTCATAATACTGATAAATTGAGAACAAATATACAGAGTCAAAAATATCAGGCTGTTGAATGACTTTGGCATTTTGAAATTTTAACAACAAACCTATTCAGAGGCTGGCTGTGACTCTGTGCACTTCCTCCTTGTAATCTTCCTGAAAACCACAAACACAGCTCCCTGTGGACCTGACTGGCCAGTTGAGGGGAGTAGACCAGGGGAGGTTCTTGACTTCTGCTAACAGAAGTTGGATTTGTCTCTTTGGGCAAAAAAGTGTCAAAGGAACTAGTTATATCCTTCAACAATGAGTGGGCATAAGAACCCCGAACAGCTAGGGCAAGGACAGGCTGGCAGGTTTCATCAGCTCTCTGGTTGACTGGAACACCACCTATGAATGAGAGGAATATTGTGAAGACACTGACATATGGCCAGAGCTGGATCCAGGATATACACCAGACCGATAAGCCAGAGGGAGTTATTGAGTTATTTTATGAACACATGGCTTTAGTTATGTCCTACCAGCACTGTCACTCAGGAGCCTGTGTGGTGGATAAAGGAGCCTCAGACCACACACATCGAGTCCTGAGTCGACGACAAGCTGGAGGGTGTAGTGTGTTATGAGGGGATGTAGGAAGAAGCCACTGAACCCCAGAGCAACTGATACCTACAACAAAAATAAAGGGGGAAGTTAATATAAGTTTTCAGTTTTCAGTATTCAGTTTCTCCACCTTTACTGCTATGCCTCTGATTCAGTGCTTCCTACCCCTGAAGTACACTTCTGAAGGGCAACGTGCTCACCTCTGTGTGCAGTGCTTGTGTGGTCTCTCTCCTCTTACAAACACGCTCCTGAGTTTCCATAGTCTGCCAGTAAAAACCTGGAGTGAGACCAAATGTCCTATCGATAACCTGAAATACAAAGCCAGGGGAACAAGATGCAGTCAACAGAATGCAAAATCATCTTAGATCTTTGAAGTAAATTAAATCACACTTTCAGTAGCAAAGCACCTTTTTGTTGAAGGTGGCAGAGATGAAACAATTTAAACAGGAGGAAGGCAGGTGAATGGGTGACGCGTAGGCTTGTTGGTTCAGCAAGATCTGGAGCTCAGGTAGCCAGGGAGCAATCTGAGTGAGTGAGGTCTCAGAGAGAAACCTACAGACATGGCTATAGAAAGGTGCATGGATGTCTATGTCCCATTTCTATAAAATAAAAACAAAAAGAACAACATCACTGCCAAGATCATCAGACATTGTAAAGCCTGAAGATGTTCGTTTTTGCTATTGACTGTACCCTTGGTTTATAACAGTGATGAGCCACAGCTAAAACATGTAAAACCAGTCCATTCTCTGTCCACAGCTGCTGAAGTCCTGCAACCCAGAATGGGACCTCTCCAGCACCCTCGGCTTCCTCATCATCAAGTGTGTCTGGGCCAACCTAATGACCCATAAACAAGTGACCCGACATGGTGAGTTATGAACTTGGTGTCACAAACAACAAACTTTGGCTCACACTAGGAGAGAGAAGCCAGTGTTCACTAACCAAGGACATAAACCAAGCCACCAAAGTGTTGTAGATGTGTGCTTTGGTTGCAGCTGGATTCCTTTTTCCATGAACTCTGTCTCCAACCATCCCAGGACAGGAGAGATTGACAGTCAGTAGCATGCTGGCCTTACTTTTAATATCTTCTGGTAGTGTATTGACTGATTGCAGGTGAGATGCTTCCTGAAAAATAAGTCACAATAAGTGTAGGAAAATGTACAAAATGTATTTCTTTTCTTTTTCTTTTTTTTTTTTTTAATTTTGTGGCACTTACGAAATCATAAAGAACATCAGTCCTTTCAGCAGCCGACTGCTTCTGATAGACAGATTTGGTTGGACAGTGTATTTCCAGTTGCTTAAGAATTTGCTGTTGTTCATGCTGTAATGTCTGCTTTCGTTGTTGTCTCTGTTGGTCACTAACAGATGGATCGTCATGGTTACAATATTTGTTTATTGTCGATGATGTGTTGAATGAATAATAAAGAGGAAACCCATACCTTTGTTGCTTTGGTTGTTTAACTGAGGTTTGCTGAACAGTTGGTGGGCTTTCCGTTTTAGGTTCTCTGGAGTCAGATTGTATAGGCGAAGATTGTTTATCTACCCACACATGTTGTGAGTCATAGCTACATGCAGACTCTACAGGCTGTGGTGGCTTGTCTTTCAGTTCCTCTGCTTCATTTCCTAGTACTGACTCTGATGGATCGATGTAGTTATTGGAATATTTATTCCCATTTTGATTCATCTTCCTTATTTTCTGAAGTAGCACACTCTTGCCAGTCGCCTCCCTATACACAGAGAAACAACAGAAAGGAATGAGGAATGAAACAAAATGTGCTAGACTGAAGCATGAAAAATGTTTTCTAATGCAGGATATACTGTATTCACCTGTCCTCCATCCATGATCCAGTGTGCACTTTCAGGTTGTGTATCTTTGCAGGTGGTGCTTCCCCGTGAGTGTGGTATTTGGCTGGTGACCTGGACTGTGATGAAAGATTTGGGGATGTTCTTGGTGGTATTATTGAAGGATCAGGACAACGCAAGTCAATATAAACAGTGGGGTATTCCTGGTAGCTGGGAATCTCTGCCATCCTCTCCAATGATTTGCTCCACACATTATTCTGTCTGCATGAAACATGTTATTATTAATATTATTTGTATTATTAGCCTCCAAATGTAGTCACAATCACTAAGCAGTGACATGACTTACCTGATGATGTTTGGACTTTTCCCAGGCTCTGACACAGACTTAGATGACTGGCTTTTACAGTAAGTAACTAGCTTCTCCATTACATTCTGCTGGGGGCTGTACTTGTCACCATCTGCGAACACAAATTGTTGAAATTATAACACAAGATAATAAATTCATGATGTAAATGATAAAGTACATAGCCCCCTTTATCATTCATCATTGCTACGGGGAAGTGTGTTATAATTACTTACTTGCATGTGTGTCAACTGACACATGTTGTTGGAGAGACAGCCCATCCTCTTTCAGATTTTGGAGGACACTATCCAGATCCCACTGGTCAAGCCTCTGAATGTAGGCATGAAAGGAAAAGAGATTGTTTTTTGTTTGTTTTTTTTAGATAAGAAGGTATGGCACCTAGATAATAATTATGTGCATCAACCATAACTTGATAAAGTTTAGCTATGTTTACTTTTCTTACTTTCTCAGACTTACCGCAAATGAGAGGACAGAGAAATCCACATCAGATTTCATGCTGTCCAAATGCGGTTTTACAGAGGTTTCCAGCTTTGCTCTGTTGAACTCTACAGTGTTGCTCTGACAAGCACCTGCCTTAAATTTTGAAACAGGAAAGGAAAGGGTGCATATTGAGTGTATCACAGCTCTAGTGTGCTTTACTCTCATCAGAACAGCAACTGCAGATTAATATAACCCACCTCAGCATCAGCATCGGAGCCTCCTGTATCCCACTGAACTGCAGTCTTATTTTCTGCAATTTGATCATCATACAACTTCAAACTCAGGCTGTCACAAGTCTCTTCTGACCAGCTTGTCTGTGCTACAGGTTTCAACAGCCTCTGATTGAGAAAACACACACATATCAGTGATTACCAATCATGCAGGCCTAAGTTTGGGGTTTCAGACATGAGCAAGTTCCATTAACACTCATGAAAATAAACTATAATGAACTAACCTCCAGTTCAGCATCTTCCACTGAAAAACTGTCAAAGTCTTCAAGGACCTTCAGGGAAAGACCAGCTGGCCTTTGATATATGGTGATAATCTCTTCATTTTCAGACTGTAATGTTAAGAGGAAACGTTATTGTGTGTTATTTGTGTTTTTTCTTTTCTTTTTCTAAAAAAAAAAAAAAAAAAGAAAAAAGAAAAAAGAAAAGAAAAGAAAAAAAAATATTTTCAGTTAGGTTAGCAGTCAGGAAGGAAAACAAAACACATACTGCTAACGAGTCGAAGTCGATGGTTGGTATATGTGGCTTCACTTTCTCAAGAATTGAATTCCAACACGACGAAGGATTTAAGTCCATTTCCTTCTCGCAGGGATAAGTCTGCAAGTAAGATAAACGAGTATTTTATTTTATGCAACGGTACAGTTTGTGATCCGCAGTTCATTACCGAGGGTCCTTGGTAACCAGTGGCAACAGAAAACTTCTGTGTGCAGCACGAGGGCATCGTCAACAATGTTGCCTTCAAGTGCTGTCAGAAATATCTCAACTAACGAAAGCCGCATAAAACACACAGTGTTTTACGTCTGAAGAAACGTTTTAGCGTACAGAACTTCGGCGAGGGCTATTCCTGACAGAGAAAGAAAGAAATGTCCGGTAGGTTCAGCTCAGTAGGCTGCACAGTTAGTGGACAGACATAAGTAAATCCACTGTATGAACATGTTGGCATTTTGACTTGTCGAAATTCATGTTGAATTTCTAGGGAGTAGATGGACAGTGCAGTCGGCAAGCTAGCTTGCTAGCTGTTGTCCTGAAGTTATTTATCATTTGCAGGTGCTCTGTCGAATGTATGCCAGTGGTTTGACTGATAGGAAACGTTACATATATCCTGCTTCTATCCAGGCAGGCCTACATATTTTCATGGTATTGTGTTTGTTATATTTTTTTGCCATGTTGCCAATGACTCACGAGAGAGTCAGTCAGTGGTGAAATGTACAGTCAGTTGGTAGTTTATTAGTAATTGAGTTGTGCTACGTTGTGTTGACAGGTCTTACTGTTATTTTGTCCATCCCATTCAAATCTGTGACAGACACACCTATTTGTATAACGCAATACAGATTAACAGCACTACAGACTGTTGCCTCCAAAATTACATACAATTGAATCAACACCTGAACATGACAATCGTTGTGTAGGGAGAATTTATTACAGTGCTGTTGACTGTGTTAAGTTGAGCTAGGTGTACCTAATAAACTGACAACTGTACAGTGGCTAAACCTGTGTACTATGTTGGTACAGGTAACATCTTTAATGAAGGGAAGGCACACAGTTTTAATACTTTTATTGCACCTTTAAGGCAGTTTCCCATTAGTGCGTCTTTTTAAAGTGACAAACATGGAGCTTTACTACACCAAATAATACAACATCTACAACATACTTGAGGACATTTTAGTGTATGAGCTGTGTATATTTTTTTCTGCCAGTAACCACCCAGCCCAGTCACATAAATAATTTAATAAAATGTGAGCTCAATGGCTTAAACTTAAAATTTTGTAAGATGACATTTCAGTTTGTTGCTCTCAGTTTTGTATAAGTGTTTTGGGGGCTTCCAGAAACCTGTGCCACGTGTGTTTCCATTTCAAATTACAGGCCGTGTTGCCATTGTTTTTCAGGGTTTGCTGATTTGCTTGTTATCTCCATTTTATTGTCCTACAATGCTCATGACCACAGCTACAAAAGTGTTATCATATTGTTATGTAAATTTGATATTTTCTGTGTTCAAGGGCATGAATGGAGGTTCAGGTGGTTTATGGAGCAACAAACTAAAAGTAGGCTATTTTAAAGATACTTCAAAATACATCACACCTGGATTTATCCACTTTTTTGGAGACCTGTCATATCAAGCTACCCCACCACAGTGGTAAAATTCAGCTCTTTACAGTCCATCTTATTCTATAATGTCACTATAGACTGAATTATTTCAAAGCATTTGTTGTGGATTGGTTCCATAAAATTTTCTGCAGAGAGATGACAATTTACCAACTGTCATCACATTCTCCCACAATTAAACAAGTACATTTAATATGACTCCATCAAGCTGAAGCAAAAGAAAAAATGGTTTTGGTCTTTTCATTGAAGAAAATTCTTTGCAACCCTCAAATCTGAAACAAATTACATTTTTATACACGCTACAAATAACAACAATTTATAAATACTGTTGTTGTGAAAAAAGAAAATGAATCACACATGAGCAATACAATTTCGATCTTGAAATCAAAAACTGAGAGAATTGATATCGTTGAATTGCTGATAACAATTTTGAAATATTCTGTGCTGTGTACCAACAAATCCTCTAAACATGACTGTATACTGGGTCTGCTTAGCAGCCTTGGAAGAATTCATTGTCAATATCCCGTAGGTCCTGACCAGCTAGACGTGGTGGGCTGGTGCATGTAATGTTGTTGTGTAGGGTGATGGTTGTGTCAGGCTCTTCTCCCTCTGCATGGGTCTCCACTCGCCTAGGTATCACCAATGGATTCCTCAAGCTGTAGTTTCTGAGTGGGAGGGAGCTGCAGTCACATTTCCAACGGTTCCCCGACAACAAAAGTTTTTCCATATTCTCTGGGAAATCAGGGACCATGTTTGTCAAGGCATTAGCTCTCAGGTCCAGAAAGCGCATCCTTGGAAGTACCTGCTTTGTGCCGTTCTGCAAAAACTGTCGACATTCATTGTTGGACAACAGCAAGTACTCCAAATTCTTGAGACCAGAGAATGTGTGGATTGTTAGAACCTCCAATTTGTTGAAACTCAAGTCCAGTCCCGATAAGCCAACCAGATCTACAAAGCTCTGGCGTTCTACCACAGAGATGTTGTTGTGCTGCAAGAAAAGCCTCCTTAGACCAGAGAGTCCAGTGAACGCTTGAGTTGTGATCCTTGTTAGGCAGCCTCTGTCCAGATGAAGGCTGTGAAGCTTTGGCAGACCTTTGAATACTTGGTCTGGCAGACTGTGGAAGCAGCTTCCAGACAGGTTGATGACAGCCACATGAGAGAGGCCTGTGAAACTACCCACTTGTGCCTCCTGCACTTGGTTGTGTTCTAGCTCTAAGACCTCCAGATGACAAAGCCCTTCAAAGATCCTCTCCCCCAGGGCTCGGATCCTGTTGTAACTGAGGCGTAGTTCCTCTAAGTACTGCAGATCACGGAAAGTCCTGGGCCTAATTCCTGTGATGGAGTTGTTGGAGAGACGCAGTACATGAAGACTGTGCAGGCCCAGGAAAGTGTCATCATGCAGAGAAGTCAATCTGTTGTTTGTGAGATCCAACCATCTGAGCGACTTCATGCCTGCAAAGGCTCTGGGCACCACTGTCACAATGTGATTCTGGGCCAGGTACAGCTTTTGCAATTTAATGAGTTTAAGAAACACATTGGCTTTGATAACCTTGAGGTAATTCCCAGTTAGATCCAACTCTTTAAGCTCAACAAGATTTTGGAAAAGCTGTGGCTGCAAGTAAGCGAGTCTGTTCCCTGCAAGAACAAGCTCTCGTAGACCTTGCAGGTCATGGAAAGCTGTTTCAGGTAAGACTGCTATTGAGTTCCACCCAAGGTTGAGAAGCCACATGTGGGAGAGTCCTGCAAACAGTCTTTCCTCAATGCGAGTGAGCTGGTTGTTGTGCAGACTGAGTGAAGCAAGGTTAGGTGTGTTCTGGAAGATTGTACCTGGTAACGAACGGAGGCCATTTCGCTCAAGGTGAATGTGTGCTAGCGACCTAAGTCCTTTGAAAGCTTGAGGGTCAAGTGTCACCAGCTGGCCGCTCTGCAGATTCAAAAAGTCCAAGTTGGTAAGATCCTTAAAAGACACTGCTGGAAGTGTGGTGAACAAGTTGCCATCCAGCCAGAGAGAATGGGTGGATGTTGGCATGTCAGACGGGACTTGTGTGAAGTTACGAGTACTGCAATACATGTTGAGCTCCAAGCTGTAGTCATCATGCAGGCAGGTGCAGCCCTTAGAACATGGAATAGGCTCTTCAGTCACCTTCTCTCCAGCTGTGTCGGGGTCTGGTAACACCAGTGATGTTCCCAGTACCCATAGTACCAACAGCACAATGGTTTGCATACCAGCTGTGAATAGAATATTACCATCAATATATAAATATTCATTAAATTCACCACAGAACACAGAATGCTGTTAAAATACAATGTCTTCCTAGTTTTGTTATTTCAGTCTTTTAAGGAAATTTTGAATTCTAAATGTTTTCATGCTGTAAGGCCTAAATTATATTGCTTACCTTAAATCTGAGAGGTCTTGATTTAAGGTGGACAGGCTGTCAAATACTGAATGACTGAACCTTGTGCAGTTGTTTGTATGCTGAAATTCTGACAAGCCCCCAAACCTTTTTTGAGTCAGCTGCACTGAATGTGTAACTAACTGTAATTAACCCGTTCATTTCCATTAGACCTGAGCTGCGTGTTGCCAGTAGGTTTTCATGTTCTTATCAGAATTTCCTGTTATGTTTTCTTAAACGATAATTAGCTTGCCGTCACTAATATCAACTTTGGTAATGTCAAATCCATAATCTGATGTTTTTAATGATGAAGTCAAATGTAAAATGGAAATATACTTTTTTGCCTTAGTATAATATTAAGGGTACTTAGTATTGTCATCCTTATAAGGGATTATATCTGAGTGGCCTTTTGTGTTTACTAAAGTCAGGGTCCTGCCACTGAGTGCATTTACTGTAGATTTTGACTGATACACTGTGGAAAAGAGATAAGATGAACCCAGTGCACTAGACCCTTGACTAAATTTTCAACTTTTTCCTTTTTGCTTATACTTAACCTTTTACCAGAGAAATATTGGACATTGTTTGATAAGAGGCAAAGTTTTATTTAACTTCTTACCCCAAAGCTTGAATTGTATACGTCATTAAAAATCAATTTAACCATCCCCTTTGCCATCACTCCATGTTATATTTGAATAAAATAAAGTGTATGCACCTGTCTGAATCATGGCAACAACTATATGTAAGAGACTTAGTGCCAGTGTCATTTCTGCTGCATTCACTTATTCGACAGTGCAGGATGAGGTCAGTTCCAGAGGTCCATTTCCTAATCGATTATTGTAATGACTAACTTTCTATTTACTCTTGTTCTTGGTATCTGGGTTCTTTTAGACAACCATGAACTGGTCATGCTCTAAAGGACAACCAAATCCAGATAACACTGTGTGCACATGAATTTCATTGATTGACTTGCCAACACTGGATTTATAACAGTATGAAGAAAATGTATCATGTGGGTCACTCAAATCTGGTCCATGTCTGGAGCAAATAAGTAGACTAAATGTTATTTGGTTGCAGGGTATGTGATGCACAGCACCAACTTCCCTTCTTCAATAGCATAACACTCAGTAAATTACTGATAAGTCCATCATTGCCATTTAAATTTAAGTTATAATCTAAAATCAATATTTTTAAATGTGTAAATCATATTATACAGCTTTATATTGAAATATTAATATGGCACAAATTTACAGCATACAGAGTGAATCTTAAGTAACTTGTGTTTTTGTAATTGGAATGTTTTCTTTGATAAGATATATCACGTACGTCACATACCAAAAAGACATAGATGTTTTATTTATTTATTCATTTATTTAGCATGCCATGTGAGATGTGTCATGTAAAAAGACCAATGTGTCCTGACTGAAACATTTGTTAATATGCGTATCAAGATCAAGATCTACTTTATTTCCCCACATGGGCAAATTGGTATTGGACTCTGCACTGCAGTTCCGCAATAAATTAACAAATAAACAGAAAAGAGGAGACACACAACCAACAAGACCACACAGAACATAAAACCAGCATGTCTTACCAACAAACTAATCTTAGTTTGACAGATGCTGAAGGAAGCTGTGGTCATTTGTACTGAGAAAACTGAGGAGACCAAATCGTTTAATGAACTTGAATTTTTATTTCTCTTACCAGTAGAGAGCACTGCTGGTCTCTTGTCATTTTAGGCCCAACAGCTTGATTTTTCCTTTGTCTGAAAAGGGCGCTCTTAAACATCCAAAGGAAACTATTTAATGCTGCATGTAGTATGAGCAGGAGTTATTTAAAAAAAACATAGATCATGTAATTAACAACAGCCTTAGTTCTGATATTTCTTGATGTCTTTGCTTGTAGGTTGTACTATCTCAATAATGAAAGGAAGTTTTGCTTTTATCCTTTCATAGAATGAATATCAAATAATTTTACAAACATGGAAATACTGCGGTTTTCTCTGCTATTCCTGTCAAAAAATTGCCATTCAGAATGGATGCTATAGTGAGTTGTTTCATGATTGTTGCTCCCCTGACAAACACCTCTAATTGGCTCATTCCCCGGCACTCAACCAGACACAAAGGTTTCCAGGTTTGTCAGCTGCTGTGGGCTTGCTGAGTGGAGGAGAGGAGTCTTAATAGTAAGTGGCAGGAGCCTGCTGCTGTGGCTGGAAATGTTTGACTGGACTGTGCCTTGCTTCTGGAAGGAAGATTCTCTCAAATAGTTCTGGATAAATTTTGTGCTTCGTCAGCAGTGGTGAACAGGCCTGAAAGGTATAATGTCAATCTAAATTGGATGGATGCACGCTGATCAGTGTTGAAACTCATCGTACTGCCTTCTTCACTACTGCTCTGCAAATAAATGTCAGAGAACTCTTGACATGTAATGCCAAGGAAGCCAAGTACAAACCTTTAGGATCCATTAAAACATAATCTGTACCCCACCCACCCCAGTAATTCAGATGCTGCTCTGTTAGGCCCTTTTCAGTCACTTAGTGCCTCTTGTATTTACAGACATGTTTAATTGCTGTCTATCAACATCACACTCAGAAATCAAGCAAGTTTACTATTTAAGTTTTTAAGTGTAATTAATTAAGTGTACTTATTTTTTTCACTGTAGATATATTACCTAGTCAAAGTCTTGCTGCACAGATTAAAAACACAGAACACAGACTTGAGCATGAAAAGTGAATAAAGATTAACCTTAAAAGTAGGATCATGACTCAGACATTAGTACCTTTTCTGTTTGTTTTGTCTTTTTGTTTAGGCTGCTATCCAGGTATCTGTGCACTGTTTACGGTCAGAGCTGATTCACCTTTGAAACCATACAACGTTTCCAGCTATTTTGTCAGACATAAAATATTGTATGATAAACCAGTACTAAAAAGACCTACTGAGGTATTACCTACTTTATTCTTGTAAGGTAAAAACTGCCAAGTGCCACAATACAACCCCAGTGAACCTCAGATAAGTACATTAAAGCCAGCAGCTGAATGCAGTAAGCTCAAACCTGGGGATGAAATAGCTTTGTAATCTACAACCCATAAAGAAACAGATCCTCCTGTGCTGGTGCAGAAGGATTCTGGACATGCAAAATGTTGGACCCTTCTGTTGGTCACATCGGTTGCACATAACATGGTGGATAGTGGTGCTTTGCTGCGAGAGACAGGACAATGGGGAGATGAAGGGGAGACTTTCTTGTCCCTGTTCTTAACAGGGCCCACACATCTCACTAAGAAACTAACTGTTAGAGGATGGAGCTCTTTTCTTTTATTTCTGCTATTACTAAGTGGATAGGCTTAATTGAACTAAATTGTTTTCTTTGTCCCTACACAGGCTTAAGGCGAGAGCAACCCACAGCTTCCCCAACCAAGTTAAGAAAGGTAAGTGGAACAGGTTAAATATGAATATGTTACACGCAAACAACAACTTGAGTTAATACCGAATGACAACGCTTCGTCAACACTGCCATCATCTGGCAGATTTTTGGACTGTTAACCCCTTCACAGTAATTTAAAACTGAACAAAGAGAAACGTGTCTAGCTTGAGAAAGATAGCGTTAAAACTGTACAGGGCTGTACAGTGGCCTTTCACCCATCGAGGTGATTGCGGTTCAGCGCTGCTCTGAACCGCAGTGCCACCTCAGCCCTTTGACAGCCAAAGACCCTCAACACCCCTGCAGTGGCTATTAATAACACTGTGAGCTCACAGTCAACCCGCTGCTCTCTAAGAAGAGAGAGAATCCATTGGCTTTGTCTCGACATCTGGGAGGTGGCGGAAGTCACCCACTGTTTCTTAATTGGTTGTGATCCTTGTGACAAGAGCAGATTATTACAGCTGATGACCCAACTAAGCTATTTGATTTTACCCCTTGAGTGTGTGAACCAGACAGAACCAGATCTATAACATTAAAACATGTTACACTCAGACAGGAAAATACAGTATGTGGTTAATAATTTTAAAAAATACTTCTGAAATACACTTTGTGTTTAAACATGAAGCTAACCTATAAACATCATGAGGTTCAAAAGGTTCACTGATGATAATAATTTGTATGCTCATTTGTTTACATTTACATAGGGGATTATGTCTTTACATATAAGAACGCTACAATAAAAAAGATATACAGAATGTTTCTTAGGAAAGAAATCAATTTAAACCGTTTTTTCCTAACATTACGAGCAGCTTGTATCCCAGAGGGATGAATTAGAAAGCTAGAGGTTTTTATAGTTATTTATCAAGAGAAAGCATTGTAGTTTTTGCACTTAAATAACAGGGTTTTTTAAAAATATTTTCTTAGATCTTAAACACTATCCTTATTTCTTGTATTTTTTGATATTTGTTTGATGTAGTAGTCTTTATTGTTTACAATAAATTTACAATATATTGCAATTTTTGAGTTTGCATTGCAGCCTCCTTTAGAAACTTGCCTTTTATGTGCCAAGTTCTCACTAGCTAATCAACAGAGATTCAGCTATTTTATAGCATGTATAGAGGCTGTAATTTTACCCATCCTGTAAAACACCCTGATGTCATATACACTGGCTGAATAAAGATCAGACTCTTCTTGTAAGTCAGTTAGAATTCAGTTAGAAAAGGAGTTCACCTTTTACTGGTAAACTATAGAGGATTTCAATTATATGAATCGATGATGACCAACTTTTCTTTCTTGCATATTGGTGGTATAGGTTTTGGTGATATAGTGCTGAGCATAGCCGCTTCCCAAGCTGTTGACCCAGGCTCGATTCCCAGCCAATGCACTCACTTGTTAGTCGCTTTGGATAAAAGAGTCTGACAAATGAGTAAATGTAATTTATTCTATTAGTTTCTTAATTTGTAATACTGACTGTAGTAAACTATTGCAACTGCCAGTTTGATTGCTGTTGTCTTTATTTAACTTAAATTTACCTAATTTGAAACTCTTTTTTTCTCTCTATCCTCCTGTGAAAGTATACACTGCAAATTCACTAACATTGATAAAACTTTTACAGAATAACCTTGAATACTCCCAGACAATGTCAGCTTCTAAGGCGTGGAAGAGGACAGGTGAGAGAT